CTTCCAGAAGGTGGGGGCTCAACCAGAAATGGTTGGACGAGAGGACTGGACCAGAAAAAGGCCTTAACAAACTCCTGCACTTTCACCCACGATTCTCCGAAGTCTCTAGTGAGCCACAGCTGCAACAAGATTTTATTTATTTTTAACTTACATACAATAAGTACATTACAAAAATATACAAAAAAACAAACCTTCAAATACAATGAATTCACCAAGCTCTTATCCATTTTTGCAATCAAATTATTTTTTACCAAATTAAATCAACCCAGATCACACTGACAACTTTAATTAAAATTCATTCTTCATTTTAATTTTTAGAAAATATCTCAACAAGAAAATTAAATTATTAAAAAAACAACAGACAACATGTGTTGGGCTAATGCAATTGAGAAATGCCACCTAAGGAAATTACAAGGAAATTTAAAAGATATCATTTCAAAAATATGATCAGCTGGTTAAATATAACTCCAATGTATGCTGATGGTAATTTTATTATTAAAATTTAAGTGTCTTTATTATTTTCTTGTTCTCTTTCAAGAAACTAGTAATCAATTACCATCATAAATAGTGATCATGTTCATGCAATAGTATTAAAAAAGGAACATGTGAAGTTTCATTTTAACAAATAATTGGAAAGAAGTAAAATATGGGTTGCACACGGCCTGATGCCTGTGAATCACTAGACTCGCACATCTAGTTTTCAATTAACTTTTGATATTGACAGATTACAGATTTAAATTGGTATTAAAAAAAAAATAATAAACAGCTAGTTACCAAAGAATAATTGTTTGTTAAATATCATATGCAGATGTGATGTTTTAGGGATAAATAACTGAATAAAATGAAATACATAATATCCTGAATTAGAAGGCTTGCTTCAAATTTTTTCCTTACCGTTCTAAGTTGATCATCCTTGTCATAAACCAAGAAAGTAATTGGATCCTCTTCGTAAAAAGAAATATCAGATGGGGAAAATTCCACATATCGCCGAGTAAAATTCTTGCCAAAATTGTTTGTGACAAAAAGTACTTTGTTGCGCACATCAGCGAAGACGCTCTACAAAAATACAAATGACAAATACCATCAAAGAATATTAAGTTTTTAC